CACCTCAGTCCTGAGGTGCTGAGATCCCACAAGTAAGAATGACTACACAGCAGTAAAATGTTTGGAAACAGAAAGGTAAATAATCAACAGCAATGATGCCAGAACTCTTACAAGCATTTCTAACATTTGGCTCCTCTTCCTTTGCTTGCTTATGGCTGGTGCTTGACTCACTCCCTGAAAATCACCTTTTTACCCTCTGCCTCAGGGGTAAGTGCCATCCAGAGCAGGCTTTTGTGCAAGGTTTGATTGCTTACACCATTATTGTGGCCAGTAACAAACACACACCAAACTATGGGCAGTGAGCATCCTCTGCCTCGTTAACCTCAAACAAACCGTGGGGATGGACACTCACCTTGGGCTTGGCTCTTGGTTTCAGCTGCTCCAACTTCTTTGCTGCAGCCTCAATTGATGCTGCAGCCCCTAATAGCTCTGTCTCTGCAATGACTGTTGGGTCTTCTGGATCCACCCACTCTGTCCCTGAAATCAATGGAGATGAGACAATAACTTCAGTGGCACTGGGAGGGAGCTGCCACTCAAACAGGGGGAATTGCAATCACACCTCAAGTGTCCAGTACAGAATGTACACCACAGAAAGCTGATTTTAGTGCCATAATGGTTTACAATAAACCAATAAACCACTGGTTTATGTCACAGAGAAAACTGTAAAGCAGAGGGGGAAGAAATATTTAGTAGGATTATTTTTTCATGAAAGTAACTTATTTAATAATTGTGTAAGCAAAGAAGCTTCAAAAAGGGATGCTGTCCATCCTGGGAACAAAACCAGCTGTCACTCAACCTGTGTTTATCAGAGATCTGACTCAGATGGTTGCCATCTGTACCCTGAGAAGTCTGACACAGAGGTAGAGAGAGCATCCCCAGCACACCCAGCAGTGCCCCTGCTCTGCCCTGGCACCTGGGCACTGGCAGTGCCTGGGGATGAAGCTGGCACTGCCTGAAGGAAGCACACTTGGCAGCGTGTGCCTAACAGTGATGTAGAAAAGGCCAAAGCAGTTTCTGTACCACATCTGAAAGGTAACTTTTTTTTTGCTGTTGACTTTTTGGCATTTCTCTTTTCTCAAAGAATTTTTGTAGATCCACAGAATGAATACTTGGCTGGAAGTGGTTTCAGATTTTTTGAAGCTGTCAGTGCATTATTATTTTTGATTTCCTAACACCGTTCTCTGAATGATAAGATTCAGAAAGCATCCATAGTCTGGATTGAGGGAAACAATGAAACAGCCAGAAGAAGTTCATAACCTCTAAGGGCATGGTCTAAAAACCATTTCTCAGCTCAAATGTTGCACAGAATGACAATATTCTATATTAAACCCTAATACTGGCAGTTAAACAGGATTAAAAAAAAAGGCAGCAAATATAAATGCAGTTAACCCCAAATTTGTAAAATGTACTAGGTGCTCTTCAAAAAAAGGCATTTCATAAAGGTTAAAACATTTACATGTTGAATTTGTTAGGAGACAGCTTTATTGTGTACCTATAAATGAAAATGAGGAAAGAAAATTGTGAATGGCTAAAACACATTTTACTTCCCACAAAAACAGCTTCTAAAGTGAATAAAGACATCCTCTACAAGCAGCAAGTGAAAAAAGAAATAATTAGTGTTTTTTTTATTTTAGTGAATATGAATTAAAATGCAAAAGTCACCAGAAATTCATAAATGTGTCCAAAGATGAGAATAATATAAAGATTTTTAAAAAGCACTAAGAGAACAGAAGAAGTTTGATATTGGCTTGCCTTATCAGCAAATGAAAACAGAAATTTTGAAATATAAGACAATGCAGGAAAAGCTGAAGAATTCAATAAAGCTGCTTGAACAGGGAAATAGCATCATGTAGATCACTGTTCTGTGAAAAAGAGTAATTCTATTAAGAGATAAGGAGGAAAGGAGGAAAGAAAAAATGGATTCCCATTTTTTGCAATGAAAATTGCTTATAGTTCAGATTCATTTCCAAAGATCAGGTACTGCTAACAGCAGGAAATAGCTGAGGAGAGCCTGCAGTGTCTGTGACACAGAACATCAGCCCATGATTTCTGCAGTAATGAACAACCACACTGGGAGCTGCTCCCCACTCACCCTTCATTGCCTCTGCTGACTGGATAAGCTCTGTGACAGCACCTGCAACCCGCTTGGAGAAAGAGGCCAGCTGATGCTTCAGCTCTGGAGTTGCTTTCTGAAGAATCTAGAGAAAGAGAATGCACATTATTAAGGGTTCCAAGATGCTGGAGGATTCCCAAGGCACTCTAGTGAAAGATTGATTTTGTACAGCAATTGTCTGAAGCCCAGTGAGAGACCTGTAACTGTCAGGAGGCACCAGGAGCAAAACCTTACTCTACAGGGCTGGATGCACCCCAGGAAATGGCACTGCCTGGCACAGCTCCAGACTTCCCTCACCTCAGCATGGACCAGCACTGGCCAGGATGGAGCACATGGGTCTGCAGGAGGTCAGGTCACTCTGGATTCTCACTAGTACAGCTTACAAGGAGTTGTACTAAGGTGTGCAGAATTCAGCTGCAATTAGCATGTTCCTGGCCCCAGCTGGGTGATTAGTGCAATAGTGCTTTGAGCAAACACCACGAGCCCAATGCAACATTACACAAGTTAATACACTGGCTTGAGAAATTTTAGATACTGCATCTGACAACTCTTGCACCTAACAAATATCATTTCCAAAGAAATACAGCTGCAGAATCCCCCTTGGCACTCCTGTAAGCATCCCTAGCCTGAGCACTGAGGGTACAACTGAACTTACTGACAGCTGTACCACCAGAAATGCAGATGAGCCAGGTGGAGCAATTAGAGATTCCTCATCCCACATGAGCTGCATTTCTGGAGGTTATAAATGAATGAGATTGCAGCCCTAGGGGTTCTAAACCAGCAGAGGCAGCCAACACTGGGGTAGGGACAGGGTGGGTATGAGGGGGCAGAACTTGCTTGTGGCTTCAGGGTTAAAAGGCTTAAGGTAGAAAAGGCCTGTTACTTCAATAAAATGGAACATGCCTTTCTTACCTTAAGCCTCTGGACTTTGCAGAGAGACAGAAATAAAATGAGCAAAAGTGTTTGGTCTGTTCTGGCACTCAGTTTGAAACACATAGTGCTGGCCTTCTAGGGGTCAAATCTCAAAAACTCCCCACAGTCCTCTAAACTAAAAATGGAACAGACATCTAATGCTAAATCACTTACTGCAATACAGCTCTAAGAATTCCACTAGCAAGTCCCAATTTTTTTAAACTATTTTAACTGCTAGTGGCAAGCACAGCTGTGACTGGACTTTTACTTTACATATAAATTTCAGCAAGTTGATGCAAATAATTACACATGCTCTGTTCTCAGCAGAAAAACTGATTTGGGTTTGCTAATGTGCAGTTATGGCTGCAAATTTCAGTTTCACAGACTTTAATATGTCAGCTGAGAGCCACCTAAAAGAAACTGCTGGTCATCCATGAAGCTGATTGCTGATTTAAGTCTTCTCATAAACATTACTTCAAACACATTTTATTGCTTCCTACAAAAGTAATAGCATCAGAAGAACAAGTATTATGGGATAACTAATATATTAGGGGATAATTATGTATGGTCAAGCAAAGCCCACTGACAGCAGGATTCAAGAGTTTGGATTAGAGTGTAGAAGTTTTGTGCAGAGCTTTGGGGGTGCCATGTCTGATGTGTTGGAGGGTTCTTTGTGAGGCAGTGCTGGCTGGGGATTTTGGGATGGCTTGGAGTAGGTGTGGCTGTGAGAGTAACAGTAACACTGATGTAACAGGGCCTTAATGAAGATTGTGTAACCTCTTCAGTCTGGGGCACAGGCCTGTGCCTAACATGTCTGGTGTTTATTGTGGGCTTAAAAGAATGCTGAAATGTCTTAGTTGAATTCCCTTGTCACAACCTTTTTTAGGTTCAGATCTGTATTTCCTCCAATCTGATCCAGAATGCAGCTCCATGTAAGTACTCCAGTATTCCTCCTGTCTCACAGAGCTGAAATATTGAATTTCCTTTAGCTTTCTATGACAACAAAACTTCATAACCTTGTGACAAACTGACAAAAATGTGTCACTAGGAGTCACTACAGAAAGAGGGCAGGGAGATAACTCTCTTTGGAAGCAAGGCAGTGTGCATGCAGATGAGTCCTCACCAGGAGAACGTGCTCCAGGAGCTCCAGGTATCCCAGGGTACATTCTGTTCCGAAGCGCAGGGCTCTCTCCCGAACTTCCTCACTCACATCTGGGTGGTAGGATGCTTGCTGAGGAGGCAAAACAACATCAGCATCCAAAAGGATCCCACAAGAGAAGATCAGCACAGAGATGGGGAAAGAGAAGGGAGGAGATTTTTTTAGAGTGTGCAAATGACATTTGAGTTCGAGGGCCGGCCATTTCTGTTTTAAGCAAACGGTGCTGGAAGAGCAGCAGAGCTGCAGCTCTGCAAAGGCTCATTAGTGCTGTTATCTTGACAGAGATCTAACACAGCAATAGCAGGGCTGGAACCACCTGCTAAAATACAGAAACAAGCTGCAGCAGAGTCAGGTCTTTGTAAGGATTTCCACTGAGTGTCATGGCTGGCATCTGACATAAGCCCGACTAATTCAACCATTTTATTTTTAATAAAAAGTGAAACCTGCAGCCTCTTCAAGCCTTGTACTTTCTCCAATAAACTTCTAGGGAACTTTTTTATTGAGCAGAAGCACCGCTTGTTGCCAAGGGGAAGTTCCCCAAATGCACAGCGTTTCCTCTCACAGAACAGCTCCTTCCATTCCTGCGCCCCTTATCTCCCGCTGCGATGGGGATTTATCTCACAGCTCACTTATTCTGCAAACCCGCGGCATCCCGAGCAGGGCGGCGCTGGTCTCCGGGCTCCCTCTGCAGGGCAGCCGGGGATGAACAGGGCACGGAAACCGCAGGAGCCACCTCCCCTCCTCATCCCCGCACCCTGGCCGAGGGGATGGAGATGGGAGGAACAGCACTGAATTTCCTCATCCTCAGCATGCTTCAAACGAGAGGCTGAAGCCCACAAAGTTCAGAACAGTTTTGGTTTTTTTGAAATTTTCAAACATGACAAAGGGCCCCTAAGTGTTTCTTATGCATACATTGTAAAGAAAGCATCCTAAAAGGTCTCTTCTGCATTTAAATATTACTGTAACACAGGGAATTAGAGGAAGCATCCATAGGAGGGAAATAGGAAGTTCCTTCTGTGTTTTGCATACATAGCCAAGACTGGTATCAGAATATTTTGGGAGCATTTTTAGGGTTTTGTATAAATTCTGTGTATTTCACAGCAGGCTAAAGAGGTGACAGAAATCATTTTAGGAAATAATTTTCATCATCCAGAAACATCCTAACACACATCTCACTATACCAGTGGGACTTGCAACAGAAATGTTTTCTTCTCCAGGCCTGGGCAGAAGGGCTGAAAACTGCAGTGTCTGAAGAAGCAGAACACACATTTCTTATGCTGAAGCTTCCTTCACCATCAGCCCTCCTTTTCTCTGCACATGCCAGCACCCCCTGCCTCTGGTGCCACTCGCAGCCCATCAGCAGCACGGGTGCCTTGGCCAGGGAGGTGTGTGAGGGAGCTCCCCCGAGCCATTTGTCCCTGGCTGAGCCCCAGCTGGGCTGTGTCTGCTCCCAGGGCCTGTGCTCCAGCCTGGCTCTGCTCAGCTGCCTCCAGTGCTGAGGAAAGGGGAGAAGCTGTTTCCCTCCATCCACTGTCTCTGGAATGAGCTCAGGGATTGCTCACTTCCATTGCTTCCTGTTGTGGTGTGTTTCAAACTTTCAGGTCCCTTCCCCGGGTGTACCAATACCCTCTTCCCCCCCTCCTTGTCCCTTGCTGAGCGAGTCCTGTCAATCAGGCTTAACATTCCAGCAAGGCGTCGTGTGATTGGTCAAATTCAAAGGATGCCCCTCAGGCCCAGAGGTCATTGGCCTGTCTAGGTGTCCCTCATCCCTTGAGACCCCGCCCCTCCCACCTGGTTGGTGGCTCACCTGTCCCCTCCCCTCCCCCTGAGCTTAAAAGGTGAATCAGGCCATGCGGTTGGGATTTCTGTTGGAGCTCTTCCCAAGATTCAGACCTGTGTCACCATGGAATAAACCTCTGGATATTAAACCCTCCAGCAGAATCCTCTCCTTTTTCTCTTCACCATCGCCTGAAGCTTTCCTCCTGAGGTAACGGAGTTCCTAACAAGCCTGGACTTGTTTGGTGCCCGGCTGAAACCATCAGCAAGCCAAAGGTGTCTCTGGGGTGATACACCACAGCTGCTGCCTTTGGCCTGGCAGCCAGGGTCAGACTGGCCCAGGCACAATCTAACTGGTAATATTGGGATTCATATTCCAATAGCTTCCTATGGGTTTGACAGGCCTTGCACATCTGCTTCCTTTCCAGCAGCAATCACTCCATACAGTGATACTGTGCACAGGTTAATTATGGCATTATTTTATACAAACACATAATAAAAAACCAGAAATTGTTAGCTTAGGGCCTGCTCTAACATTCAATAAATGTAATTACAGCATTTCCACTGACTTTAATGAGAGTTGTCTCAGTACATCCCACAATAAGCATCCTTATTGTCTTTTGAAATGGCATCTCCTCATAACAACTGAATTAGTAATGAGCACTGTAAATTCATCTACAGCACAGGCATCTACATAACTGCTAATCCTGACTCCTTCTACTACCTGCCTTAGGCAAGAGGCAATTAAATACAGCTTGCATTCAAATTCCTGACACTGGGGAGGTCAGAGCTATGTTCTGTACAATTCTACCACAAATCATATACATGCACTTTTGTCTTGGCCCAAAGAACATAAAAATCTGATAATCTATCAGTGCTATTTCTACAGAGTACCTCAATATCACTATAAAACCCCTCCAGTGTTTGTCAAATACCACAAACCCCAAGTCCCATTGCATCACACAACTTTTACAGCATAGTAGGGATGAGTGCTGGTTCCTATCCCTAAAATTCAAGGAATGTGGCTTATCCTGGAAATGCCACATCCAGTAATCAAATTGTAGAAGGAATGACATAAGATTTCTAAGACTCTGAGCAAAATTCATAGAAACAAAGTTTTCTAAATCAAGTCTGGTTAAAACTGTGCATTTAAAATCTTTGTTAAATGATACAGCTATTTTCTCATACATTTTAGATAATGCATAAAATTAATATTCTGGGAGACTTTTATTCTTGTCTGTCCAATAAATGCTCTTGGTGTTAAGAGAGTAGACTAGGTCTCAGGCTTGGCACTCAAATCCATTAAATTAACCGGGAGCAGATGTAAACATAAAAACATTTAAAAATGAATGTTCATAAATAGATATTCAAAAGTATGTACTGGGCTGTGCATGCATGGAAGTGTTTTATAACATTACTAAAACCAGAGGATTCTGTTCCTGAGAATTTGCTGCCTGTTTGGAAAGACAAATCAAAATCTGAAGCACGCAAAGTGGTTAGACACTAAAAAACCTGCTACAAAACTAAGTCCATATAAAAAGTTGCATTCAATGGTTTTGTATAAAGGCAGTTCTAAAGCAAAACTTGCACTTTTGAAAGAGGATCATATTTAAAACAAAACAACCCTTCTGTTTGGGCAGTATTAGGCTAAAAATCAGTCTGGGACTGATGTAGGCAGTTAGGATTTGACCAGATACTGAAAATCAGACACCACACAGAGCACCATTATTTTACTGTCACCTTCCATACATGGAAAGGCAAAAGTAAATAACTGTGATTTACAGGCAAAGGCAGTTTGCTACTACAGTCACTACTAAAAATCAAATGGAATACAATCTTCAGAATCCCATTTTTTTATCATTTATGCCTAGATTTTTTTATCATCACAGAACAAGGCCAAATGGCTTAAGTCCTTATTGTAGCATACAGTGTAGAAAATAGAGCTACAGCTGTTTTTATGAAAAATTTGCAATAAAAATTGCACACATTTTTGAAAAGCACAAAAGAAATTGAGCAAACCAACAGATTAAGTCAGAGGGAAAAGAACTAAAGAGAGATCAGAGTGATTTCTTTCACCAATCCTTTCACTGTTCTAGGAACACTGAAATTATATTTGTGACCACAGGAATATTTGTATATTCTACTCCTTGCACAAATTATTTGTCTTCTGACTGGAAACCAGGAAATTTCAAAAAATTCACAAAAAACCCTTTCTGAAAGAGCTTTCCTTAAAATTACCTTAACTTTCTCACACGAAAAACAGAAAACTGAACAAAATACATAAGGCTCTCTGGATTTGGAGGCACAAACACAAGAAGAGCAGTGTTAGCAAGAAGGGAATGTTTATTTACCTTGCAGGCTGTCAGCATGTCGGACACTGCCTTGCGGCTCAGGTTGGCTGTGGCAATCACATCCTCCTGCCTGCACGAGTTCCCGGCTGCCACAGCTTTGGCCGTTGCCATGGTGATGCCTTTCGTCATCCGGATGGATTCCTCAGGTGATGATGTCTTCTCTGGGACCTCACTGGACTGAAACACCTACCAGTGAAAGCAGAGGGAAAGTCTGAGAGCAGCCAAGTCAGAGCACAACAACCAGGAGAGAGACAGCAAAAAGCAGCAGCCTTTGAACAGCAGGAAATGAGAAACATATTTGGAGAACTTGGATATCATTGCTGCCTGTCATGGGCCTGGATCTGATAAGCCTGCTCACCTACAGACAGCAGGGAGGAACAATAAGCTGAGGGAAGGAGACAATAAAAAAGGTTAATTAATCTCATCTGCATTTAACTATCCACAAAACAGTTACAGGCAGCTGTTCAGAGCCTTACCAGGTGAAAATGAAAGGCACAGTAATATAATGAAAGGAACAGTAATTCCTTCCATTATATTCTTTCTGTTCCTTTCATTATATTCTTTTCTCATCCTGACTGCTGTTCAGGCTGGCCTGCTCACCTGAGGAAATCCTTCCCCTGCAGAGGCTGGACCCTACCCAGTTCTTGTTGATAGCACAGAGCAGTGGAGACTGAGAACATCACCACTAAAATATTCAAATGTGTCTTAAAAAAGCAGAGGTGGAGCGTTGTCTCTGAGGCTATATTTAGTCTCCCTTAGAAACCTGAAGATAGAATTTTGCAGGGTGAATAATGTGAAAAGAGTTCAAATTACCTGACAATACACAAATTCTGGAATACAGGAACTGTGGGAAGGTGTAGGTAACAAGAGCTGCACAACCTTAATTTGATCACATATTTTCTTTTCCCAAGCTTTATTCTGTATTTGCTTGCCTTTCTTTTAATGCACACCCTGTATTTCCCTGCCATTCTTTTACTGTGCAGGGGCAATTTGGAGTGCACAATTAATCAGGAGATTTCCTGACCACACACAGTGCAACCTAAGCAGGCCAGTGGTTTCAGAATGCAAATGTCTGGACAAAAATGAGCCTGGTCTATCCCGTGCTCCTGGTAAATCAGTTTTTCACTTCCTCTCTCCAGAAACAGAAGCCATGTTAAAAAATGAATTCTAGTTATACATGCAAAGACATCCCTCAGTGTTGCTCAGTCAGCCCCTGGAATTCCAGATCAAACCTGACACATTTTCTGGAGTACCTGTGTGCCACCCTCTGTTCCCCCAGGAATGAGATGGCAACACCACAAGCAGAGGTCCAGCCCTCAGCAATGCTGACAAAAGCAAGAGGAACACTTCAAACAGGTACCAACCAAACTGAGAAAGATGTGATAACCCAGTGACAGATGTGAGCAGGTTTTAGCTCAGTTACAGGATGGGATTTAACAGCCAGGTCTTCATGAGGATACACAACAGTAACTGGTGAGATAACGTACAGAACATGCCTGATCAGGTGCCACATCAGGAGGTTTTATGAGTGCCATGTGAATTCCCAATGACTATAAACAGATATTTAAAAAGAAAATACTTTAAAATAAATTTCCTCATTACAACAGCTTTCCTCACACAGTGAAAAGTGGATGTTTGATGGAGAGCATTTGACAAAATGGTGCCACAGTGCAGTTATGGTGTAAGAATTGCTAATCCACAGCCTATACAACAAAGCATTTCCTGCTGAAGACTGTATCTACAGGGCTTTTAAAAACAAAAATGGACTGTAACTAAAAGAAGGAAAAAAAATCAGGCTTCTTCACAAACATGCAGGTATTCATTTATGTCATTCATGATTATGCTAGTAAAGAAAAACCCCTAAATATACTTTATGTCTTAAGAGGAAGGAAAACAATTGTCATGGTATAACACTTAATTTGAGAGAGAATTCCTCACTACCATTAATTCCTGCTTACACAGGATATCCACAGCAGGCCATGTATCACAGGTGCGATCATTCCACAATAAGGGAAAAGTAGAAACAAGTTTCAACTGCAGACACAGTATGAGAGTGATACTGAGGAGACACCACCAAAGGCAGGATGAAAAAAAAGTGAACAGCATCAGAGAGAAAACAATATCTGTACTGAAAGCTGAAGGTCTAATGAAAAAGGAAGCAATTGCTGCCAGCTTTGTGTAAGGACACACTTGCAAAAACCACTGCAACAATTCAGTTCTGTACCGTGAGCTCCTGTTTGATGTACTCAATTGTGGCCTCAAGGGCTCTTGTCCCTCGAGTGGCTTCATCTTCTACTGCTTTAACAGTCTTCAAGAGGGATGTGACATTTGTTACCATCACCTGAAGAGGAGAAGCAAAGCAAAAAAATAACATGTGAATCCTTCCTCCTGTTTTCAGGGTATGAGGCAAGGCAAGCTGGGAAGCATTGTCAATTCTAATAGGACCTAAGAGATTTCATGAATTCTGCTTGTTTCAGGACTAAATACCAACTCCTGTGTTGGACATGATACCATGATAATTAAGCAAATAAAGGAGTCTTCAGGCAATTAGAAATTGCTGAAGTCAAAATTCCACATGTTTATCAAATGTGACTGCACAGACACTTGCAAATAAAATTTAATAATGTTTTACCTTGGCAGCACCTTTCAGCTGGTACATGGATGGATCATCTGCTGGTTTGCTGGCAGCTCCTTTGGTAGCACTAATGAGATCAGAAAGGGCCTTTGCAACATCCTTGATAGCATTGATCAGAACAACCTGAGGAACGAGAAACAGCCATAAGGCTCAGGCAATAAAGTGTGAGGGTGTGATTTTCAGAGCACAGCTTAAAAAAAAAAAAAACAATCTTTCTTTTTCAAACATCTGCAATTTGCTTGCCTGCCTCAATTTTACTGAGATCCAAACAAGAAACTGAAGAAATATTAGGGATTATCCACATGAAAAGTTGTAGAGTTAATTGAAAAACAAAACACATATAGCTGCAGAATGGTAAGAGTTTGTCAGCCTACACAAATAATACACAGCACAGTCCAGACATAAGCTGGATGAACAACTTTAAAGACCTGCAAGCTCTTCAGAACAAAAATGGGATGAGCCAGAGTTCCAATGACAGTTTAGTAAAAATGAGCCAAATACTTTGCCAGAAGCATCCCAGCTGGAACACAGCAGTGAAACAAAAGCAGAAGGATTACACAAAGGCCTGACTTAGTTCCAATCAATGCTTGAGCCTTTTGACTGTATTCTAAACAAATGATATCTGAGTAAACCCAGAAACTCCTAGAGGAGATGAACCATATTGTGTTTCCTAAAAGCATTAAGTCACACAAAGTTCTACCAAATGAAAACTGTTCTCTATAAGAGTATCAGAAAATCTTAAAACTTCTCACCTGTGTTTCAGGATCATCAGATCCCAAGCTCGCTGCTCCCAGTTTTACCACCTCAGCAAGCTGAGTGATGGTGTTAGCTGATGACTGAGCTGCTTGGGCCAGTTTGTCCTGACTTGAGGCAGCACCAGAAACCAACAATTTGGTGTCTTCAACTAAAGCTTTTGCTGTTTTCAGGATATTTTCCCTGTAGCAAAAGAAGAGGAAGCAGGGAGGCAGTGGAAAATGAGAAGAGGGGAAAAAATGTGTTTTCCAGAGTTATGGTGACTAACATGAAAGAGCTGATCTAAATCCTCATACCAATGTCCCTTCATAACATAACACAACACAGGTCAAAGGTGTAAGTTAAAAGAAAACAAACCCAAAAGCAACTATTAAAACAGCAGCAGAGCATTTGGGGCAAATGCAGGGCAGTGTAATAAAATGAGCCCATCTTGAAAAGAAAGAGATTGGGCAGTAGAATCTGAGAGCATTGTATTTGAATACTAAAAGAAAATCTGGCCATGCTGTGAGAGAAGTACCAGTTATTGAACATCCATAATAATCAGCATATTGTAAGAGAAACTAAAGTAATCACAGGTGAGGAAGGTAGAAGGAAGAATGGCAGCATGAACAGAGAGTGTGTCCTGGTCAGGGTTCACCACCCCCTCCCACCCGTATCCGTGTTTTGACACATCAGGACAAAAAATCCAAAGCAACGTTTGGGTAAAAGAAGAAATAACTGTGCAGTTCACAAACAAGTAAAATTCCAGGTTTCCTATTCCTTCTCTCATTCCCCTGCCTCATTCAATTTCATTCACAGGGATCCAAAAAAACCTAAAAATTTATCTCCATGTCCCAGTCTCTTCTGCCAGTTCCACTGTTCCCCTGGGCATGCACTCTTCCATCTTGTCCAGCAGCACTGACCTGTGATCTGCAAATGATTCATTGTTCTCAGCATTAAGGGTTCCAGCAGTAGCAAACATGATAGTGGTGTCCAGATCTGCAATTATGCCAGACACAGCACTGGCTGCAGTGATACAGGCTTGTGTGCCTTTGTTCCCTGCCTGCAGGGCAGATAGAACCAGGGAGACCTAGAAACAGCAAAAAGCAACAATGGAAAGAAAGTTGGTCCTGTGAATCATTACTGCTCTCTATCAGCTTTAACTTTAATTACTAGGTACTGTCTAACTCTGTCTAAATTTGGAATTGTCACTACTCCTGGGATCCATCATGAAACTGGTACAGCTGAGAGCACATTCACACAGGCTGAACCAATGGTGTTTGGTGAGATCTGAAACTCCTGGCACCAACTCTCAATGTTCATGTCCAATAAAAGGAGAGAGATGCCATCCAAAAGGTTCAACACAACTACCCAGGCCATTTATTTGAAGGGGATGTTTCCAAGGAACAAGAAGCCCCAGAGTTTGAAGATGCCGTTCTAGGCAGTTACTTCTATCCTAAAAGGGGAGGACATTGCTGCATGAAACCACATGAGGTCACTGACCAACCTCACAGTAACTGTGACCTGGGAGTGCCCCAAAAGGCACAAGAGCCATCTCACATCTTAGGAGATTGTTTTGGACCAATCTCCCTCTGATAGGAGGTTGAAGTTCTATTGCAAGGCCTGAGGAAGGGCTAATCATGGGCTGATCCAGCACAGGAACACTGAATGCTTGAAAGAGAAGCAAGACCTTTGGGTAATTCAGACACTGCTGTACTACAATGCAAAGTTAAAAGAAACACTTTCCTGAATCCAGTTTGACTGGTTTACTCCCAGTGGGAGCTGGGGAGACAAACACCATGGGGTAACAAGGAAAGCCACCTCACCTTTTCTGTGACAGCACGAGCACATTCTATCAACTCCCTTTTGGTGTAGCTGTCTGTAGGGCAAATCTGGAGAGCTCCAGCTTTTTGTACAAGAAATATACACCCATGGCCAAGCTCCTGCACCCGAGTCCTGATCTGGAACCCAATCTAGATGGCAAAGAAAGCACAGGGGAAAAGGAAGAAAGAAGAAAGCAAATAAATAAATGTCATGCTGGTACACTGTGTCAGCAGAAATGGAAACACCGTCCCTCTGGTGAATATCAATATTCTGCCCACCACTATAACTTCTCCAAAGATCAGAAAAACAGCACGGATGTAATTCCATCTACACATGAAGCACAACCCTTTAAAGGCTCCCTCGTGAAACAGGGCAGGAATGACTCAGAAAGAGAAGGGTAAGGCAGGTAACTGAGTCAGAGGGACATAATTCAAGCATGTGCAACTTCACATTTAAACAATGCATCATCCAGAACTGCCCTGTCAGCATGAGCCGTACTCAAGGTATGTTCAGCACATGGTAGTGTTCACTGCTGAAACTGGGTCAAAAAGTATGTAAGTATGTGATTCTCTTTGCTTGGTTTTGAACCTTGCACAGTCTTCACTCTCCAGAATCAATCACATCCATGTAGAGCACTGAAATGGGGAAAGTCCTGCTGTTACTTCAGACTTATTAATAATCCCACATCCTAAGATGTGTGGTCCTTGTTTGAAATATGATAGCTGTAGTCCCTGCATGTATGCCCTCATTCCAGTGTGATTTGGGATTAATCCATCAGCAGGAATCACAGCCATTAGTATCACAAACAGAATTATTTTAACCTCAGGCACAAAATAACATGCAGAAATCATAATTCAATTTAACAATATTGAGCCAAGTGCAAGGCATTGCTTTTCATGTAGCTGCTGAGCACAAAACACTTAAGTCTATCAGCAGGATGTGTAAGCACAAAGTCAAAAACTCTTGAAAAGACTTGTATGTAGATAATCTGATACATCTGGAGAAGGTGAGATACCCTCTACCTCATCTTGACAAAGTTTGTCTATGCTCCAGTAAGCAGAGAGGGGTGAAAGGGCTGTGCAGCTGTGCTCAGAGAAGGTGCAGCAACTCCCAAACAGGTTAATGCAACTGAGCTGAACAGCCCATCCTCTTCACTTAGCATGAGGCAAGGAAGACACTTCTCTCACATCACATTCCAACTCTGAGCTATGGAGGATGTCCTTCAGCAAAAGACACTTGTGCCCCATGTGACTAAAGTGTGATGAATCTCACTTTTAGGATAGCAAGTTATACTTAAAATCACTTACAGGCAAGATAAAAAAACATATAAATATTTGTAACTTGTCAAAACATGCAAGATTGAAGGAAAGCCACATAGTAACAAGTTAAAAGTTTTCATTGTATTTGCAAGTTGCCTGTAAGTGAAAGCTCCCAGTAATTTAGGAGGTTCTGTTGTGGTCTATGGAATTATCCACTTTTATCCCGAGCTGTTTCTTTCTAAAGCCAGACAGAGGTTTTGACAACAGGTTTCTGTTTTTTTGACTGGGCAGTTCTTATAACAAGGCTTGTCACCTTTACTGTGCTCTTCACAGTAAAAGAACAGCCTTGTTAACAGCACCATGGAGAGGAATAAAGAGGTCTAAGAGCTGCAGACCTCCTCAGGTTCTGCCGTAGCTGCGGCCATTCGGCCCTGCAGAGCCAAATGCCCATAGTCATTGGTCATTTGCGATGCCAGTCCTCCCAGCTCCTCCGGGTTAGTAACCGACTTAGTCATCTGCAAAGAGAACACAGGCAAGAGAAACAGAAAATGGACAGGCATGAGGATAACTTGTTAATACACCCCAGTTAGAAGCACGCTCATCTGTTTGGCCACGCTGATAAAATGGGGTAATCCGCTTGCCATGGAAGGGATGTGTCCTCCAGCAAGAATTCCAGAGGAAACTCAAGCAAACATGCTTTATTAGAGTCATGGCCACTGGGCAGGTGCTGCAGATACCAAGGAATCCAAGAGCAGCAGTTAGAGCCAATACTTCACTCTTTGACACAGAGGGGCCATTGGTCAGGTACAGCTATCCAGACTGGGAAGGAAAGTGGGGTTTGTTTGTCACAGCCACCTTATTTTGTTAAAGGGGAGCTAATCCCCATCAGCCTCAGCTGAGATGTGGAAGCATGGAAATGGAAAAAATCTGAGGAACAATGCAAAACACATCTCAGATGAGGGAATAGGATGGAGAAGAAATAGGCAGGATGACACAGAATGTCTCAGTACAAATAACTGAATCTCTCTTTAGAAAATTCCTATCTTTTAACAGAGATAGTTCTTGTGTCTCAAATTAATGTAAGTAAATGCAATGGAGGTCCATTCCTGGGACAAAACTAGTTTTAGACCAATTTTTACTGTCATAGATAGCAGAATCATGGACCTGTCTTGACTGCAAGAGCAATGGACTTCATGAAAAATCCTGTCTGTAGCACTCACAGTCACCTCAGCTCTCTCAACAACAAATCAGCATCCCCTGTACTGCTCCAAGGAAACACACATGATGCATTACTGTGAAACAAGTCAAGAAAAATCTCAATTCAACAGGTGTCACTTTTTTCTTTCTTTAAACCCAGGTGAGTCATAGAAATGAAAGAAAAGGACAGTGTGGGATGTTGATCTGCATTCATTCATGAAGCATTACACAGCTCTGAAAACACTGATGCTATTTCACTTGCTACATGAAACAGTAAGTGTGAAAAAGTATCCCAAAGTCACTGATAAACAAAAGGTGGCATTTCAGCCCAGTTATATGGGCTGATAAAAAACGTGGTTTTCCTTTTATTTCTCCTCAAAAATGAGCCAAATATAGAACTTTTGTGCAGAAAAGCCACAATACAATCCAGTGCTCCTCCTGTAGAGGACCCCTCCATTATTATACCACTAAGATGCAAGAGTCAAATCAACAAGATCATCACTCCTTTTGCTCCATTACCCCAAAAGAGATGAGGTTATTGAAAATTTGATGATCAAGAGTGTCTCAATACTGTGCAGATAATTCCATGTTCCTTACATACACAGAATTTGGACCCTGTCAAGGTAATTTCTTACCATTTCCTGTGCTGTAACAGCAATGGCTTTAGAATATTTCACCACAGTGGTCTGATAATCAACAAAAGTTCCTTTTGGATCTGGAGGTGTACCTTCATCCAGCTGCAAGACAGAGGGAAAACCACAGCATTAAAAATTCACAATAAACAGCACATTTTACAGGCAGCAGTAAAATTGTATTAGATATTCAATTCTGTGATCTCTCTCAAGATACACAAGTGAAAAAACTGCAGCAGGATGTACCAAGAAGCTCAGCAAATACTTGAGCCCAGGTTATGAGCACGGGAGATGCAGAGAATGCACAGAGCAAAGCACAGTTTTTGAGCATGAGGTTTGCTTCTCATGCAAGATCAAATCATTTGCTCTTCTCTGCTAATAGAGAAAGGTGAAACAGTTACAAACCAAAATGTTCATGACAGAAGATAATGCAAGATTTCTTTATATGCTAAAGTCTTTAACCTTTAAGTCAGGATAGGAAAAGCCAAATATTTGGATTGAAGTTCTGTACACTTTGCAACTACACATCTTCAGTAGAATGCATTACAAAGCACAGCAGGGCATTTCAGGCTTTGACAGCTTCTCTGAAAGTAACTTGCTTCAAGGTTGGCCTGCTGTTTATTTAAGAGACTAACATGAAAGATTAGGGAAAAAAAAGGAAGCAAAAGTAAGAAGTCACTTGACCTAAGATGATAGCTGAATGCCAGTTATTACTGAATAAAGTATTTTGTAGGAATTCTACTGACAGGTACCACATAGGCTGTAAATGTGAGCACCATGTCCCACATCAGTTTTATTTTACAATATGCAAAATCAAATAATCTTCAGGTTTCCTGTAACAACATTTCATGACTGAACACTAAATCAGCACCAGTTTGTCCAAAGCTCTGCAATGTGGATCAGCTTTCAAACACAAAGTGAGAAAGGGGTTTATTTCCATGCTCACCTTGGTCATTGCCTCTGCAATCGAGTCTACCATACCTCCAACCATGCCAACTTCACTTGCAGCTTCATTTAAAGTGACCATGATGTCATCCACAGCCTCCTTCATCAGCTGTGCAGCCTCAGTGATGGCATCGTGAGTGTGAGATGCCTGGAGGACACAGAATGAGAGAACTGAGACAGTCAGAGATGTTCTCTATGCGGAACAGCGTGTGAATCAGAGAGTAAGAAATTAAAACAGTAAAGGCACTGAAAATAACACTTCTGGGCAAAGATGACAAGTAAAAACACTGCAGCAAAGCAGAACAAAACTTGGTAACTCCTACAAGGAGCTGTGACACTTTCAGCCTCAGGTGCCACAGCCTTGTTAAATGCCCTCTAAAGACAGCAGCTCTCTGTAAGTCACCAATGGCACCCGAGTTGTGTAATGCTGTGTAATGCTGCTCTTTCCTGCCAAGGGTCCCCAAACCATTGGGCCATGCACCAGACCAGCCCTGCTTTTTAACCCTTTGCTTTCTCTACAAGAGCCTAGATTGCTGCTGTCATACCCTGTGTCCCCTGAGGCAATGCTGTGAGGAGACTGGAATCCTGTCCTGGAGAAATGTTCCCACAGTCAGGAGACACCAGGAGAGCTGTCAGTGGCACTTGGACTGCAGACATATCCCTTGGCTGTACAGCAGGTATGTGCTGGGCTTTCTGCCATTCTTGCCTTCCACTCTCACCCTGAATGCCACACAACCACCTTACCTTGGGGTTTCCTCCCCCTTCTTTGGCAGCATACAGGATCTGTAAGGCAGATTCTGCTAGAGTCTTGCTCTGGTCCAGCACAGTCATCTGTTGCTGATGATTCAGTGTCTTGGATGCCACACCAACTGCAGCTGAAACCAGGGGCTCGAAGTAACTTGCCAGCTGTGTTACCTAAGAAAGGCAGAAGCAGCCCAGGAAGCCATTAACCACATCTCCCAGGTGGAACAGAGAGAACACATTCCCTGCTTGCCCCTGGGATGTGGCTTAGCTCAAGGAGCACAGTGCTCCTGCAGGTACAGCACTGTACACTGGGATTGGATCATGTGCCCAGGGACTGGGTCTGCCCTCACTGCCCAACTCCTTTGCAAAGCCACAGGTCTGCTCCTCCACAAGCACATTGTGGGATCTCAGCACCTCAGGACTGAGGTGCTGAGCCACCGAGACCACCCTTGGGGGGCTCGGGAGTCCTGGAATGTTGCCAGAAGTGTCTGGTGGCTGGACTTTGATCCTACACAGGAGACGACACCTGTATGAGGACAGGAGGGTTTCACCGGGGTGAATGGTGAAGGGATTAGTTAATTAGAGGGTGAGACACAGGGTTTAGGATTTATGTACAGGGGGGTTTAGAGAAGTAAGATGGAGGAATTGGGGCGTGTCCTGTCCTTCTTCTTCTTCTCCTCCATCTTCTGTGGTGATGGTGGCACTTTGGGATTGGTCGTTACTGAAAGTGCACCGGACTATAAGAATAAAAAGGATTGGGGAAAAATGATAAATATTGTACACGTAACCATGGGTATAAAGATAGGTGACTGCCCGGAGGGCGGCACAGTGTGCTCATGGCTGGCTGCTGAGCAGAGCTCTGTCGGGCCGAAAGAAAATCTTTTAGATAAACAATTAATAAACATAAAAACCGAAAGAAGAACTGAAGCCTCTTCTCGTCCTTTGATACGCGGGCTGCCCCAAGGCCACTTTGGGCCTTTCCAGGCCCTTCAAACAGCCGAAAACCGGACAGCACATGGCCCCTGAGGTTCCATCAGACTGTTCAAGACTGTCACAGGAGCCACATGCTATTCAACATCTCCTCTGGGCAAGGGAGGAACCTCTCAATCTTTGTTGTCTCTGCAGCTTTTACTCTCAAGAATATACAGAATGAGAACTTGCTATGTGAGAAACTTCTGCATCTTGCAATAACCATGGTAAAGATGCTTTTGGTATGTGCATTCTAACATTTGTTATTTTGGACAGACATCCTACAAGCATGAGCTTGACTGTACTTACACTGTATATAACAGAGGAGAGAGAGACATTTACACAAAGCCCCTAACCAAAAACCTCAGTAAGAATTTCTCCCCTCTGGCCCAACATGTAAAAAGCTTTATTTGGCCTTGGCTCCGAGTATTTGAAAATTCAATTTTTTTTTCTTACTTTTATTCTTACTACAAATGTGTTCTTCTGCTCTCCCACAGGAAGGGAAACTGCCAGAAAATTGGGGTCTTCCCTAACATGGAGCTGATCTGAAATGCCTCTGTCATGGCAGCACAGTACCTTGTGCCCCAGCTGAGCTGCCTCTCCCCGAGCTGCAGTGGCAATGGGATCAATGAGGTGGCCAATTTCCTGTACAACTGATGTCAGCTGCTCCTGTAGAGCCTACAAGAGAGAGAAATGGTCAGTTGCTATCACAGCTGTTCTCTCATCCAGTTGTACCACACTTGATAATCACCCTTGGACCAGCCAAGGTCCACCCTCAGAGCTGTTCAAGTGACCAGCTATGGCAGAATGCAGGAATCCACACTGCTGGTTTGCCTCATTTCTTCTCCCTTATCCTCTTTCAACAACAGCAGCCCTGAGATGGGCCTGCTCCTCTTAGGTTTGTATGACAGATGTGGGCAGAGAGTGCTGACACCAGCAAACTCAGGGCTAGGTGTTCTTTCTCACTGCAATGTGATCAAGGAGCCCCCTGACACCTCCCAAGCTATTTTTGCCCTGACAAAGATTTAGTATCACTGCACCAATCAGAAAACTGTCAGGAGCACTGATTTAAGTGTGAAGAGGCATTTTTCAAAGCAAAAAATACAATGCAAGAGCATAAAACTCTGCCACAGATTTTGAAGCAAGTGGGACAAGTCCACTGGCAAAGGAAAAATGTCACATCTCTGAAGGACAGAATACAATGTGCATGACAGGAGTAAACACATTAAAAGCATATTAGTGGCCTGGTCAAAACATAAATACTGGCTTTTAATTCAAAGGCACTTGATATCTTGGCAGCTGTCAGGATTAAGGTCACTCTCATGATAGGGAATGGAAAAAAAATTATTTTTGCCCTTTGTTACATTCCTTTACTGCTTTATAACTGCCATTTTTGGTAACATTTACTTCAGTTCAACATGGTGAACACAACAAGTGCATTTCAATTAAAATGAATGATAACATATTTCCTGCAATGACTTCTTTTGCACAGCTTCCTTTGGTCTGACATGTTTCTAGTATGCAGTGTTACAGCCTGAAGGAACCACTCCAATAAACATGTCAGTTCAGGAAACAACAGTATGAAAAGGCATAAATACCAAGATGAGAATCTCAGTGTGGGTTGACACACTGAAGAGGGAAGCTTTCTTAAAGTGAAAATTTCAAATTTCAAGTTTCAAATTTCACTTATCAAAGGACAAACTAGGCATTAAGAATAAAGAACATTGACATTTATGTCATTGGACTTCTGTAATAGACCAGCTTCAGAAACAAATTTATTAAGAATCTTCAGAAACTAATCCTGGCTTCCACATTGCAAGGCACCACAAAAACTCTATCAGTCTGTCATATCAGCATAGGAAGTAAGAATAACACGTGGGTGGCAGTAAAAAATAACTACTTTCACCCCTACTACTCCCTGGTGAATTTGGGATCTTTGAAGAAGTGATTCACTTTTGTCTGTGTATGACTTTGCCTAGAAAGCCCCCAGCAAGGCCCTTTCTGCCCTCACTGGCAGCGCTGTGGGTGAGCACTGTGTGCCCAGCCCTGCTGTGGCTGTCCCTGCTCCCTGCCTCACCTCCACAGAGATGTCATCCCTGGTGGCCAGGCTCTGGCTCACGGCAGCCAGCGACGCCTGCTCAATGTCCCTGATGCACCGGTTGATGCCATCGATGGAGAAATCGCATTCACGCTGCCCTGGGGCCTTGTCCCTGCAAGACAAACACTCAGTGAGCGTGCTGCAAGGAGCAGGGCCTTTCCTGAATGCACACAGGACCTCTTCAAAAAAAAAACCAACCCAAAAACCCATTTCCTGCATGTTGCTACAGCATCTACATGGAGGTAATATCAGCAAGTGTTCATTCTCCACAGCATTCTTTATTACATTTACCTTAGAGTGAATTGGGGGTGGAACCAGAGAAGGAGAACAGAACACAAACACACAACAGCCCTGTGCTGCAGGGTGCTGCAGTCATCAATTGTGATTAAACCCCCAGTGTAACTGGGGAGATATTGTGCATCACAGAGTCATTGCTATCAGAGAAAAATAACAGTGCTAATGGCCATATGGCATTTTTCTTTATGAACAGTTGCTCAGTTGCTACAAAAGACATACCTGATAGAGGTAATAAGACTCTTGATGGAATCTGAGACTGTGTGGGAATGCCCTGCTAGTACAGACCATGTAGGAGGGTCTTTGGGGTTGATAGCCAGAGAACGGGCAGTTTTGATCAATAAAGATGAGCTCTCCAACATTGTCCTGGCAGAAACCAGAATTGGCTCCTGAGCTTGTGATCCCTGTGGTCGGGAAGGTATAAGAACAGAAAGAATATCTGAATTATTGTTTGACTTCATCCACACTTTCTGCTCCTAAAAGTCTATTTAATTAACAGCATTAAAATGGAATTATAATCCCCTCCATTGTACTATTATATTCACAGATAGTCAACACAGAAATAGAACAAAAATCAGTCCAACAGCTTTCTCTGAAACATACTTAAGAAACATGTCTCAAGAAATGCATTTTCCAGCTGAGAAACAATGACTTGTCCAGTTGCAGACTACAGAAATATCACTGAAAATACACCTTGTCACAAAAATTCTGGTCATCAACAGATGTGTCCTTTCCCCAGTCAGACTAACTCCAAGTGGTGACTGATGACTCTTGACTGGGTTTTCATCTGTGTATCTATTTTATTTTATAATCTGATAAAGCCAGGTCCCACAGGCCTGGAGGACACATTTAGATTTCAGTTACAGCCCCACAGCTGTAAGAGTGCAACAGCTGCTGCATCATCTGATACTGCCATCTGGATCAGAGCCTGACAAAAGCAGGAAGCAGCCCCTGGAGGGCCAGCAACAACACATGGCCTCTACTCCAAAGCTTTTACAGAGCTTGAGGGGTTTGCTTTTTTATCTTTTCCCTGTGAAAAAACCCCAAATCCAATGAATCCTTTATTAGTCTCTTCACATTCTACTCTGCTGTAGTTACACACAGTTTGAAGATGGAGAACTTGTGGGCAAAAAGGAAAAAACCCAGCAACATCCCTTTGATTCTTGTCAGAACTAACTAGGTTCCATTTGTTAAAACTGTTCTTGAGGGAAAACAAAGGGTATTTACTATTGTATTGCATGGAAGGATCCAGCTACCAAAACATGCAAATCCCCTGTGCTGTATGGCTTTGCCAACAGCAGACTTGCAGCACTTACTGTAGCCAAACTGTGCATCCTGCTGGTAGAAAAGTCAATGTCAGAGGTTAAACACAAGACAGCAGAATGCCCTGAGAACACCCAGGTCTTTACACTCACTCTTTGGGGTCTTTACACTCACTCTCTCCCACATGTGATCAATTCAACATTTCCAGCTTTTGGAGGATGGAAATGCAGTATCCTGCCTTACCTCAGTGCTGATCTGTGCTGGGATGCTGACAAATTCTGGGTTTGAAGCAAACGCTGTCAGATTTTCCACAGCCTCTATTAAAGGGGCAGTGGCAGTTCTGCACTTGTTGCGGTTCTCCTCCGAGAAATCTCCATCCAGGGCCTGGAAATGAAATCAGGATTGAGCTCTGCCTGAACAGGTTTCTTTAGCAAAATGGAAGGAAGATGGCTTAAGTCTTCCTAGTTTTAAACCCCTGCATGTTGAGGATATTTGAAAGCTCCTTCATAAACAAGATTGATGCAACGAGTGTGATCTTTTAGGAGTTTCCTTCCTCAGCTGGTTACTGACCCTAAACTTTAAACTGCTGCAGGTTTTCTGCCATTGCACTCTGATGAATCCCTCAGGTCTCTCTCTGATGAGACTCAAGCCTCTCAAGTGTCCCAGGACCTCACACTCCAAAGGTGGAAGGGGCTAACTCCCACCTTTTTGTGGTTGTTTTCTATGGACTGATTTTGAAAATTCCTTAGTTATTTCTGTTTTGAGCAAGCCAGTAATATATTGCTCTCATTTTCACCCAAGTCAACTGATCTCTCTCACAATCAGAATAAACATTTCAGCTAATGAAATCTGATTAGATCATTTATTGGCTTCCAGAAGGGTTCAGAATTGTGAATTCTCCACAGCTTCACAAGTATTACTCCTGCTTGTATGAGAAAAACCTACTTCCTACCAAACTGCTGGAAGGAATCTGGAAAATAAAAGGTTACTATTAACAAGAGACTACTAGCAACATAAATAGCTTCTGTTTGGTTCCCACTATTATTTATTTCCCTTTTTTTTTTCCCTCTATTGATAAGGTAAAGCTGACAGAAGAAGCTCCAAAAACCTCCATATACTGGGGAACTTAACACCATAAAAAACCTTCACATTCAGTTGCTCGCAGATTATTCTTAAGGTGCAAGCTCATTAAATACATCAATCCCATCAATCCCAGGCCAGCTGTCTCTCCTAATATTAAAACTGCCCAATTTTTTTCAACTTGAATTCAGCAGTTACTCCATTGAACATGTTTTCCAATTCAGATCTTCAAAAATTTAATTAGTTATTTTTTAAAGCATGCATGCCCAAGAATATAAAAAGATATTTATAACTGTTCCGATTTTGTCTCAGCAGGGGGAAAAAAACCAAACAAGAAAACCTAAATCACAAAGGAAGAAGAAAGCACAACTGAGCAGCATCTGTACCTTGATAGTTTTAACCAGGTTAGCAGTGCTGTTTGCAACTTCCTTGGCAGATTGCACAAAGTGTCTCTTGGCAACAGGATTTGCTGTTTTTGATGAAGCAATGCGGCAGGCGTTGCACAGAGCAGACGTGTGCTTGGCCACGATGGTGGCAGCTGATAGGACCTGTAAAA